AGGAATGTCACACCAACCCTAGAGAAGTAGCGAAGATTTATTTCCCATTGAAGTGTCTTTGTCTTTATTTTACTGGGTCTCTCTGATCCAACTAGAAAAATCTGGGGGGAAAAAAGTACTTTCAGTCCTTCCCTTTGTCAGGAATTGTGATGTATTAATAACGATGTAATTTAATCAGACAATAGCAGCAGTCTCTTATTTTTAGTTGGAATGGGTATATATTGCCAATATTTATGGAAAATTTGTTTCCATTCATTTTACCAAATGAATCTTCAACCAGTTGCAATTAGGGTCTTGTATAAAGCTCCTTCTGTAATGCCCCCAGCTACTGATGAGGATCTTAGTGCTATTATAATTTACTGTTTATCTTGACATTATTATCTTTCAGTTTTGCTAGATAAATATTTTTAGGCATCTTGAGTCTTGTTGCTCTGTATCAAAGATTTGATCGTCAAACAACTGGAGTTTTTTTAGAACAGCTATGAACTGCACTATTCCATATTACCTGCCTTATTTTATGAAACATTAATTGTCATATTCCCCCAAATATGAAAAAAATAGATACAGGAACAGAGAGATATCCTTTTTTTATGTCACATTAAGCATGTCTCATTTTGAATATTCATACACTGTATGTTATGCTGCAGACTAACAAAGAGAGATGGTGGAGATCTTAGTTAAGGATATTCTTTCAAAATTTTCAGCTGCAAATGTATCTTTAACCACTTGGAAAGGTCTGAAAAACAGAGAATGCTAAATATAGCCAGTAAGGTCACTTTCTCCATTCTTGTCTGAGATAAGGATACAGGATTGCTGGTGGAAAGCTGTGTCATTCACTTTGTAAATGCCTACCATAAAGGCCCATGTTTCCCTTAAGCTGATACAAAGTAGCCAGTGCAACTTGTTTTTTCATATTTCTCTCATAGGCGGTTCATTTCTCTTGCTCACAAAAGGGTAAAGACAATGAAGGTACACTTTATTATATAGAAAATAGACTTGGCTGCAGGGTCAGGACAGGAACAGTAATATTTAGGTGTAAGTGACTATGCCGAATAAGCAAACAATCCTTCAGTGGACAGCTAGAGTTTGTGGTTTTGGTGGTTTCAAATGCATGCTATGCAGATTAATTAATGCTTTGACAATGACAATTTTTAGGAGGCACTTGGAGATCTGACTGGGGGTTATCGTGTCTTGTAACCAGTTTGATTGTGAAACTGATGTACATTTTGCAGTAGAGCAAAACAGCTCATACTGCAACAATTTTGAAATCTAGGTATGTGAGGATGTGGCAGGTATCAAAATAAGTTGTGCCTTCCTAGTGCAAGGTGTAGAGTAGGGATTTTGGGATTTGAATAGGGATTTAGGGAGGGTGTAACTTTCTTTTGTTCTTTCCAGATTCCATTTTACAGAAATCTAAAGCTTTACATGAGATTAGGCGGCTATGCAGCTCCCTGTCCAGCTAACATGATTTAGAAAACTCTCATTTTTATTAAATTAGTTTTTAAATTCTTTTGTCTCTCCTCTGAAATATAGTCCCCAAAATAAAAATATATTCACTGGACTTAAGGGACTAAAATGAACTCTCTACTGGTAGAAAGAGACTATTTAAATATTGACTGTAGCCTAAGGAGGTAAACTCCACTAGAGGGCAGTTCAGAGCAAGAGTGTAATCAGTTGCCTTGTTTCATCTTCAGAGACCATCGCTGTAAAATCTATTCTTTCTGTATTGAACAGGGATTATCTTTTTAGCCTAAAGTATTTTCTGTTGTATCTAAACTTGATAAGCCACTAACTACGTTATACTAAACAGGAACCTATATTTAGGGTTTAGCATGTGTAATAGCAAATCTATGCTTTTGCATGCTGAATTCAAGTGTGAGAGAATGCAGGGTATTTGGATAAACGTAAACTTCGGGTGGCATTTTTATATCTTTAAGAAGTTGTTTTTTATATTTATATATAGGTATACATGCACATATATATATATATATACACACACATGCATATCTGTGTATATGTATGTATGTGTATGTATTACAGTTATGGTGAGCTCTGTGCACCAGGCTGAAAATTTTCCGAATGTAATTTTGTGTTCTCCTTCAAAATTTTTGTATTTGTCGTCATAGTTATTTCTAAAACATCTGCACTGGGTTGCTCCATTGACCTGTGTAGTTTACCAGAATAATAATATTCAGCCTTTGATTTTTGTCTGCATAATGAGATCTGTCATTTTTAGAAATAGCTATTTGTCACTTAACTCTTACAGTTAGATGGCTACCTCTTCTTCCAGGCATTTCATATGTCCGTAGTTCCCGGAGGCAAACAATTTCCAATGACAGCAAATTTTGTCCCCACACTAGCTTTGTCAATTCGGATCAAAAGCAGAATTATGTATTAATCTATTGTGACCGGTGAAAATGAATTAAACACTCCTTAGAACATCTAATTTTAACCAGAAAGCCATTAAATAATTTTTATTTTGAAACCAGGCTGTTATAATGTGTGAAAAGGACTTAAACACCACTAGAAAAATGCATGACTTGTTGCCTGTCACCTTTCCTGAATATAGTGTTTGAGGGATGGGTGTTTGTCCTTACCAGAAGAGCATTGCAAAGCATTTTATAGTTGTTCTGTCCACGTACTAAATGCTTAATTTTCAGATGTTTTCTGTTTATGAAAACATTTGTGTGAGCAGATGTGTTGATGTCTTTTCTTTGTTAATAATTGAGGCCAGTACATAATTTCTCACTTACTTCAATATGCTTTTCACTATTCAATTAAAGTTGTTTTGAGTATTTTTTTTAATTGAGCAAGATTTTGTTTTTGAAGTGGCCCCACACATTTAAATGATTTTAATGCTACAGTTCATTCCAATGAGATAATGGTATATGCCTAGTGAGAGCCCTTCAGAGCATTTTTGGGTGGATCTACCATATTTTATTTGCTGGTCCTGTTATGTTTGAAAATGAAAAGATTGTTATTTTCTGTACACTTAAGTCTGTAAATATGAAAGGAAATGTTACCAGTTGCTCTTTAGGGTCTCAGAGTCAGTTGTTGTCAGAGACATGATTTCAAAGAAAACTGGGTAAACTGGTAGGTTTTTTCTTCTCTCTTGTGAGTAGTGAAGTCAATAAGATACAGGTTTGACCATAAGAAAAGTGTTGAATCCTTTCTCCCAAAATGTTTGTTTTGAGGCTACATTGACAGAGTCAGTGTGCTGGCTGTAGTATCCTGATATTCCCTGTGATACTGAGTGTAGAAGTTGAGTTCCTCCTCAGCTTCGCACAATGTGGATTTGATGTCTCCAGAAAAATATCAGGTAATTAAGACAGTTTGTGGTATAATGGAGAAATCGGTATGGCTAGTGGATATTGTTTTGCTTGCCATGATTTACTAAATATTAATTGGAGTAACAGTGCTTTAACTCTGGTTTGAAGTGATCATTATTATCTTGCACTGTACATTAGAAGTCATTTATGAATTTTGTACATGACAGCATTGGTCCAAGTGGAGGAGCTGAAGATTATCCCAATGGTTAACGATTTTTAATTGTGTGCTGTAATCAGTAAAACCAATGTTTACACGGTCACGTCTACCAAACAGACTGTCTGTATATGGAGAAGGTTATTCCAGGAGAATATTAAAAGGAATTTAGGAGATTCAGGAAGTCTTTATCTTGCCATATATGTTGTTATACTTTTATTTTACTACTGTCCTCATAGCTAAGAGGTCCTCATAGCTAAGAAACGTTGCCTTAAAAGTGCCAGCCAAACTAGGAATCTTGTCTGTGACATGTCTCCTAACTGTTTGCTCCTGTAGTTAGGGGATTTCTTCTAGACATATCTGAAAAGCGAAAAAGCATGAGAATAGCTTTTGAATTTGCTACCTCTTTGAGGAGGAGGAGAGACTCTTAAATCTGATTCTTAAGGGCTCTGACGGTTTCTATTAGTTCTGATAATAGCAATCAAATGTATTGCTCCTTCCCTGTTGACTTCTCCCGTCTGTGTTGGTGGTCACTGGTTCCATAAAAGAAAACCAGACTTGGCTCTTTGACCACTTATGGTCATTACATTGTACAGGCCCGGTACATTAACTGCCTGTAATTTCAGCTCTAAATTATTAGGTTATACCGTGGTTGACAGGCAGTAATCCCTGGCAGGGGAATAGGATTGATATCTGGATTTGTAACCCCTTCAGTTGATCCTACAAGACCTCCTCAACTGGAAGATTTTGTTGGAAGGACATGCTGAGTTAAAGCAGAGAAAAGCAAGAGAGCATCCTTCTGGCTACAGCTGTTAATTCTAAGCTAGTTCTATAGCTGAACAAAACTGTATTTATGTAGTTCCATAGAAGTTTTTTGTATTTTACATTTCATTGTTGCTAACTGTTGGCAAACAGATTGTGTGTAGTTGCTAAAGGGCCAGCCTTGCCCTCTGTTGTAAACAGTGTTTTATTTTGAAGGTAGCTCTGCTTAGATGTGGAATAAAATAAGAGAAGTAAGGGGGGAGCAATTCATGTGTCTAAACCATAGTGTCATGATTTTAGTATTGTTTGTGGTATTCAAGATATCTTTATGGCAGAGCGGGGGTATAACACAGGCAGCATGGGCCCTGCTGGACAGTAGTTGGAGGCCTGCAGAGATAGTGTAGAGCCTCTGAAATGATGTCTGAACCCCATCTCAGGTGACCCGGCAAGTTAAAAAAGGAATTCTATCCAAAGTGAATGAAACATAGCAGGGCCAGGAATCTGTCTAGAATTAAGATCAAACACATCATCAGCCCGCACGGGGTAAATCCAACCGTCTACTCTTAAAAATGTGCAGGAATAAATAGAATACAATTGCATTAATTGGTTGTACAATCTGGACAACTTGTGAACAAAAGCTGATGAGAAATACTAGTTGGTTCCTTTTTGTACTAAAATAGTAATACATGTTTACGTTGTACTTGCCCTTGATTGAACTATTATTTGTTCTCTTTCTGTTCTAGGTTATGGTCAGACTGGTCCAATGGTTCAGAGAGGTGGATATGACTCCATTGCAGCTGCTGTTTCTGGTCTCATGCATATCACAGGGCATGAGGTATGGTGCTCAACTTACAAATTTAATAGAATCTTTGTGCTATATACTAAAACTTGATGCTGCATGGAGCAAGTTAGCCTACGCTAACACATCTGTTATGCATGCCCTCTTCAGTCCAACAAGAGGTCTTATCTCTGGGAATCTAAGAAAATAATAGTACTTATGTCCTTCAGGTATCTCACTCCAGGCTTGCAAAGCCAATGCCTGAGAAACAGAAAATGAAAGAAAAACGGTATCCTGAAATCTCCAGTAAATAAATTGACAATTTATGCTAACCTGTTAATGGCCACTTCTAGTCACTTCAAGAGCTGTAATAGAAACATTGTTGACACCTGGATGATGGAACCGTACATATGTGTGGGAAGTTTCACCCATGCTTTGATATTGATAGTCCCTCTTTAAAAGAGGGAATTGTGAAGCCATCCATCTCTGACAAACTGTCTTTTCGGTCATCCCGCCTGAAAGCAAGCAGAGAGATGTCATTAGTGGTTCTGGAAAAGCTTTATGTGCTGCTATTCCCATTGATATCCAAGATCTTTGGTAGCTGCAGTAGTGCAGGAAGCATTACAGAGGGAGTTTACTATCTGGATTCCAGGGATACATAGAATGTGTGTCTTCATTTCAGAAAAATGCTGGTCATAGGCGTTTACTTCAGCTGTCTTGAATCACCTACAGATGCAGGGAATGTGGTCTCCAAATGTCACTTCTCAAGTGAGATAGTGATACTAGTCTGTTCTATGGATCATAAACACTAGAGTTTTTTTGTGGTGGTGCTCCTGATGCTCTGGAAGCAGTAGTGCAGATCTTGAGTATGACACTGGCATGCCCTAGATAAACAAGGAGTTCACCAGGTTTCTGTATTTAGTGTCAGGTATTCATGTTTGAGTAGGTTGTTGAAAGCTAACCATGCATGATCTGGATATAACTCTACTGTAGGATTGATATTCTGCCAATAGACTTGTTTTCTGCTGGGAACAATGGGAAACATCAGAACTCTCTGCTTGTGGCAATTATTGTTACCAGAGTCCTCCTTTCTATTAAAAAAAAAAAAGCCAACAACAACAAAACAACCAAAAAACCAAACCAAAACAAAAACAAATCACAAACAAACAGTCAAGCATTGTTTGACTGAGGAAACTGAAACATCCTGCACCTAGTGTCCTGAGACTATCTGCCCACTGCTAGCATGTTAATGGTACGTACCCATAGGATGTCCCATCTCGGAACATGAGAAGACATGAAGTTGAGTGCAGTCCTTACAGGTACTTCTCTTCAAATGTATAATGCACATATAACTAAGCAATGACTGAGCACAGTAACTGTAGTGTAAGTAACTTTTACATTCTGACCTTGGTGTCTGCAGAGTGAAGGTTAGTACTTCCAATACAATGCCAGAAACTTCTTGCACACTTCAAAATATACCAAACAAAATTAAATGGGAGTACAAACTGTTAGAAAGGGGGCAAATGTTGTTAATACTACATGAATAAAGGACAGTATGTTGAAAAATTGAAGAAAAAAAAAAAAAAACCAAAAAACCTCTTGTAAAGCTTTTCAATGATATGAGTGACAGAAAATACAACCATTATACCGAATAATTGCATATAAGTTGTATTATGAGAGTAATAGTCCTCAGTGGCCATTATGAAGATGGATTTTATTAAAAGATTGTGTTATTAAAAGATCTACACTGGAAATCCAGATGTTCGCATCACCTCACCAGGACTTGAGGCAATGTAATCATAAGAATAATTTAATCATTGTTAGTAACAGTTCTGTCTATTCACTGGGGGCTTTTAACAATTCATTCAACCTTAGTCATTCTTTTGCACGGTTAAAATAAACATGCTAAAACTTGCTGCTTATTTTTTTTTATTTGAAGTTGGTCATATGTTATTTCATCAGTTTCTCAAAACCATTTTCTGATGTATAGAGGGACAGTTTTGTTTCAAAGAATTGAGTGGTCAATGACTCCAAAGAAGCAAATGTGCCTTTTGTTGTTGTAGTGAAAATTTAACTCAAGTGGCTTTAAAATCATATTGTATGCTTGTTTGAAAGCTACTTTAAAATAACAATGTATTTATTAATAGTAAAATCTTCCATGTTCTACATTTACGTTCATGTGACTGGGTTGTGTTTAAAATTCCACAAGACTAGCTCTGAAAGAAGTAGAAAACCTTGTTTCAGTCAGCATGTAGAAAAGCAGCCAAAGTAAAGAAGAAAAAAGAATCTTACCAACTTTTTTAATGCTGTTTTTCTTTATTAAACCTTGAATTATTTGTTGACCAGATAACATGGAATTCGTATACTAAAAGTAACATGATCATTTGAAGCATAACATGGAATTCGTATACTAAAAGTAACATGATCATTTGAAGCATACCCTAGTAAACTAGAGTATGATTGTTTTTTTCCTTAAATAAAATTGAAAACGCCAGTCTTATGAACTGGGGAAAAAAAAAAAGAAAAATTATAACAGATGATGTTGGTTTTGTATTGCATTGTGGTAGCTATAGATAATCAGCATAACATCACTATAACAGTGCTCTGTGGAAAATTCCCTTCAGTAAACAAGCCATTGAATGTGCCTGCAGGATGGTCTTAGAGGTATCAGCTGATGCAATAGACAAATTATAATGAATTTGAGCAGCAGCAACAAAACATCTACATACAACACTGAGGTGCTTAATTTTGAGGTATGTTAATACATATTTACAACTCCTCACAAAGCATTTTAATAATAGGATACTAAAATTATGTCCTGTATCTGACATTTTGAAAAATGGATAGCGCTAATAGCAATATATATACTCCTTTTTGGCTTAGTGAAATTTCATGTTGTGAATTTTAGTTTGTTCCAACCATCTGGCTACTGATTTAATGTCTCAGAAAGCAGTTTACTGTTGCAGATCACATAACTTTATTGGCTACTGAGGCCATGCCTCCAGTCAGCAAAGTCTTAATATTAAGCCATGAAATCAATATATTAGCAGCACAAGATTTTGAGTGAAACTTCAACCTTTATTAAGTCTGTCACATATGTAACATTCAGCTTCTTCAATACTTTATATTTCATGTAACACTATAATTTTTGAGGCACTAAAGAGATCACAGTGGAAGAGATGGACGTTTCTGACTAAAATGTATTTTATCCAAGTTACCTTTTTATTAAGGAGATAAAGTTAGTGTAATACAAATGTGGAATGCACCAAAGATACACACTAATATCACATTTGGCACACAGTATAAACCTCTTGAAAGGGAGACAAGATCACATGCTTTATATGTCTGATTTTTAAGATCTGAGAGAAGATTCCTGTGTAAAGAAATTCTGAGAGGCTTGCTTTTCTTTTTTGGCTAGGAAATCGTTGTTACTGAAATGACTTAATGCTGATTACTTTGAAATGCTTCTGAGCAAAGTTCTGAACCTTGAAATCAAGCTATAACTTCTGCCATATTGCAAAGTTACAGGCACAAACAACTGTGTTTTGTGCTAGTGTTGTTTTTGATGATTGTACAAAACTAAACACAGTGTACAGTAGAATGCTACCTTTAAACCATGTTTTCATGTGCAGAAACCTACATGGAATTCAAGTTCTTACACATGTACTTGATTTACCTCTGTATTAGAAATGTATGACATCTGTGAAATTTGAAATTCTAGTGTGTTTATGAAAATTTACAAGCAGTAGTGGGGAATCTGTTTTGTGTAAATCTGTACCACAAACCCATTTTGAATGAAAGTAGTTGCTTCAGGCCACATTCAGTTTTTCTTTACATAAATTAAAATACGCTAAAAGGAAAAAGTTTACACTGATGACACTTTTATTGTCCTGGACGACATAATTTATAGATTTTTTTTTTCTTTCCTGGTTAAATACAACATTCGAGTTTCATATTTGATGAGCAGAAAGCTTTTACTTAATATATTCAGATACATCAGTGCCAGATGAATATCCCTTGGATGAAAATTTCTGACTCATTAAGGCAATAACTTGAAATTAATTAAATAAAAACCAATTTGGATACAAATCCCCTTCCATCTCCAAGTGGATTATTACATCCAATTTTCAATATTCAGGGTATCTTTATGGTGGTACATTCCTTCTTGCTGAAGAAACATTTTTGTTTTACTGAACGCAAGACAACAAGACATGATTGGGATCTACAGTACCAGAGGGGCCATTCTTCAGCTTAAAACCAACCAAACTGCAACAAATAGTACATATGGTGTATATAGCTCAGAGCTGTTGGAAAAATACAGCCATTGCTGATTCATATTAGCTTCAGCAGCTATTTTCTATCTGTAAAGACTACTGGGCTTAAATACTTGTGTTAAGCATGTCATTTCAGAACTATTTCCATTTTTAATGGATCATTTTTATATTATTGATGTAAATTTGGGAAGAGAAATTATGTCAAAGGGCAAAAAAAAAAAAGACTTGTGAAGCTTCCAAAATGTGCTGTGGCTATCTGAGAGCCAGAATGTGTTGACAAATTGTAAGGAATTTAGCAAACAGCAAAAATTAGGAATAAACATGTAAACTGGTGGTAATATTGAGCAATAGCAAAGTGCAGTGACAGAAGAAAAGATCTGTTCTACTGGAGTGAATCTTCATCTTTTCAAATGAGCAAAGGGCACGTCCTGGTGCTGCCCCTGATTAGGGTTCAGCCCAGCCCTTGAGCCTGGATGGCCGCTTTGTTTGCTTAAAGCACTTTCTCCCTGACTGCAGCTGCCTTTTGTCCTTCTACCAGAACAATAATACCACTTCTGGCTGGTAGGGGCGGTGGTGGTGGTTGTTACTTCTAAAATAATTTGCTTGAATAAAAGCTACTGTATAGATGCTTCCTTTGCTCAGGGATTAGTATAATGTTAGCTACAGAAGTACTGCTGTGCTGTCAGAAGCTCTGTCTAATGGAAGGTATTTCTGTGTGTGTGTGTAGCTTTATCCTTAATATAAAGCAGCTTCATATCCCTTGTTCTGCAGGATAGAGATGAAAACCTGAATGAATCCATTTCACAGTACTTAGAGCTATGCGTCCTGTCACAGAAAGGCTGGTTTATCGCACGGGTGGACATTAGAAGCTGATTAAAGGGTGAAAAATGGCAGCTACTCATGGATCTTGGTAGAAAGACCAAGGAAGAATAGAAATTGTGTGGACTGCTGCAGAATTATAGGCTGTGGAATGTTAGGATGAAGTAGAGCCAACGTGTTAAGAATAACATAGCACTGTAGTGCTAGTAGTTTGCAGGAGCATTCTATAAGGAGAAATTGTGAAAGTGTTTTTAGAAATAAAGGTGAACTTCTTACTGAGGCAAGGGAAGCGTTTGCTTTAACATATTAGGTAGTTTAGTACTTGATGAGGAAAGTGCTGGGATTAAGGCTTGAAAAGATGAATTCATACGTAACATTCTATTAAAATATTGCTGATTTTTATATCTTCAAAGTCTAGTTTTCTCCGTCAAGGGTGAAATTAATGACACTTTGAAAACAGTGGGAAGTGTTTTCAAACTAAGACTTTTGCTGCACATCTGTTTGCAAAATCTTAAAATCTTTTTGATTTCTTCTCATCCCAGCATCTTGGCTGTAATGAAGAAACAACAATTTAAGAAACTGAGAACTTGCAGCAGATAATATGGGGGAGATGTTATTTTTTTTTTTTTCCATTTGTATTTCGCAGTGATAGCTCTGAGGAGCAAAAACCTTCTCATGTGCTAATTGGTTTTCTCAGTAGGCCTACGCATATAAAAATAACGAACTTCCTTTCCTGTTTTCCCCCGGAGCTGGGTACAAGGAGAGTGGTAAATGGATGGAACCTTTGAGTTGTCCTTTCTATTGGGAAGCTGAAGTAGCTTAGTGTAGAGTGTGGAAGAAGAGAAGGAAGAAATAAGAGATTTTTATGATATGAATAAAATATAGCATTTTCCATCTTACATTGAAAATACTGTACTACAGTCTTTTGTCCCAGAATTGACCTATGAATGCAATTGATAATGCAATATGATATTTTTCTTAAAATAATTTTTAACTTATATATGACTTGATATCAGACTTAGGTAAATCCTGTTGGAGTGCAAAAGAAAAAAAATGAAGATAAATTTTTTTTAAATTTTTTTATGTGAAGCCAAGACACTCTTTTTTTTTTTTTTTTTGTAATTATCACTAAACATAACTCTCTTGTAATCTTAAAGTATGATTACACTTAGCAGTTTAGACATGACTAATTAAAGTAATTCTGTAAATTCAATTTTATTGAATTTATGCCAGGTTAGTTTAAAGGCATTTATAAGAACTTTGACCAACAGTTATTATTTATCAATTATACTGATTTTAAGTTGGCTTATGATAGGCTTACTTAGGTGCTGAAACTCTGAAACAGTCTCATTAGCTTTGCGCTGCTATTTGTGGACCGTACTTCAGGGCAAGCAATTGCTGTCAAAATATGAGCATCAGACCTCAAACTTTTCAGAGTAGAAAATGGGAGAATGTCTCAGAAGAAGCACTTTTAAGCTTCTATGGTAAAAGCCTACCTTGACTGAAATTGGAAGTTCCTTTTGCCATTGATTGCAGAGGGGCTGTATTTTGTGCCCATGATTAGGGAAGTTCTGAAACACATGATGTAAAATGAAGATGCTTCCCTTGATGCCAGAAAAAGGGTTCACATGCTGAAAAAGGATATTTGAATCAACTTTCCAGTGATCATTGGTCAAAAGGTCAAGAATTTGTGTGTATTTACATGTGTAATGTGCACATGCGTAAACAAAACAAAGTTGTTTTTGTTTTTTCCCACTACAAGCCTGGAGTGTGTATACTGGAAAATATAAAACTTGAGATTTGGCTGGGGGAAGGCCAGAAGAGGAGGGAGAAAAAGAAAGTGAGAAGAGCAAAGCGATACGGTTCTGCCTTTCAAACAGACATGCACCCTGGTCAGCATACTGTGGAAATCCTTTAGACCTTTAGCTTCTAGGCATAATGAAGTTCAGTTTTCACTGGATTCTCTTGTCTCTAACAGTATCTCTTCTTTTTGCATTGGTGAGTTGAAGCATTATGTTATTAGGGCAAAAAGTAGCATAATAAATCATTCACAATTTGCAGTCTGCAGCATTGTGAAGTTAGCATTGTGTAGATACTGCAAGAATATCTGGTTTTCAGTGGTAGTTTTTATATTCAGTTCACTCAAAGATACTCTTATATCTTGCAGTTTGCAATGCAGAAACACGCAAGCACTTTTTTCAGATGAGTCTTGTGTAGCATGTACTATAACAAAAAGTAATGTTTTGCCTGTGCTTGTTTTCTTCTCTCTTTTTTGTGTTTTTTTTTTTTTTTTTTTTTTTCTTGTTTGGGTTTTTTTGTTTGTTTTGCTTTGGGGTATTTTTTTCTTTCTTTAGGATGGTGAACCAGTTAGACCAGGAGTAGCCATGACAGATCTTGCTACTGGGCTGTATACATACGGAGCAATTATGGCTGGTTTACTTCAGAGGTATAAGACAGGGAAAGGACTGCACATTGACTGCAATCTCTTGTCATCTCAGGTAGGAGTTTTAAAAAAAATTGCTTTTAGTTGTGTAGATGTTTGAACCTAAGAATACCATTTTGACATAAATTAATCAAATTAGTTAGTACAACTAATGACAACAATAATAATGACACTAATGGCATTAGTTACAGTTTCCTTATTCTGCCACTCTGGTAGTGACCATTTTATATGACATGGTTATAGTTACTACTGCATTACATTTGGTTTTCACTTTTTACAGAGGACCTCCATGTTCTTTGAAAACATGGTTTAATCAAGGTTTATAACATCCCTGAGATTGTAAGTAACAGTTGTAGTAGATAATTTGAGACAGACAAGCATAAATGATGAAACCCCTGTTGGAAGGGAGGCCTTGGCGCTGGGTAATATTACTACCAAAGTGAATGAATGACTTGTGCAAAATCCTCCAGAGTAATCAAGTATCACCCGAGTGTCAAAGTAATGTAATCCAGGAGGTCTGCCTTTAGGCTCTGGGAATTAAAGAATCAAGTAAACTTGAAGATGCAGCATTTTCTCTAGGCATATTAAAGAAAAAACTCATCAGAATTGTAAAGACAAAGATGTTTTGATCATGAAAGGTATACCATGTACCACGAATAATGAGAACTTTAAATTGGCTTTGAACACTTAAGCACCATTGGTGCAATGATTTCTAATTCACAAAAAGAAAGTGATGTTGGTATGAGCTGCATATGATCAGATGATACGTTGTCTTGCTGATGTAGATACCTGTTGGTAGCAACTGGGTATATGGTGCATAGGAATTTTTGTGTACGTTTTAAAATGTACATCAAAACTGTATGCAGTACTAATCAAAGCTACTACAGTGCTCCCTTATTTTTGTCTTTATTCAATTTATTTTTCTTTCTATTATACCTGTCAGTACATTTGAGAGACGATAAGAGTGCCCATTGTGCAAAAAGTTGGCCCTGGTATGAGCAGGAGGTTGGATGAGAGAACCTCCAAAGATTCCTTCCCACCTATATCATTATATGATAATAATGATTGAGACTAATGATTGAGGTTGCTCTTGTTTTAATACCTACTGCTTTTGTTTAAATACCTACTGAAATCAGATCTGGAAAGGAGGGGAAGCCCTTGCTTAAATCAACAAAGAATTTTTCATTTGTTTCAGAAATGTTTGTAAGGACTGAACTCTTCATCATACTTATGTATATTTGTAAATTTTGTGTCTGCATTTGAAAAATGTAATAAGCAGTTTAGAAAAATATTTTAAATGTATATTAAACTCTTATTAAATATTTTGTATATATATGGAAGTATTTTTTTGTTGTTTAAGGTATCATAGTGTTTTATGGCAGTTTCTCCTTGGTCTTTTTCATTTCTGATTTTATTAACAGGCCTTCTGGTAATTTCTATTCATTTTGAGTCATTCTGTTATTTTTTGATTCCTTGTTCCTCTGTTTTTTGGCTTTTTTAATGGAGCAGTCTTGATTAGTATTTGATTTTTTATAAAGTGCTGAAAGTAAGAAGAGTTAAAGTTGTGTTGCTGTAACTCTCTTCTATTTTTTTTTTTTTTTTTTTTTTTCCAGCTTACTTTGTCACCTCATTTGTCTTTTAGAATCTTTTTCCTTGGTTAGGATAGATTTGGCTATGCACAAAAGTGTTCTCATATTGCAGAATTTCCATCTGAAGTTCCACATCATCATCCTTTAGGCCACTCACTGGCATACACAAGAAAGGGATTGAAGACGTTAATGAACAAAGAATGATATGTGCTTAGCTGAAGAAGTACTAAATGGTGAAAGGACAGTTTAGTGATTTTTTTTTTTTAGCATTAACTCATTCCATGCTTGTTATCAAATTACAGTTATCTAAAAGTTATTAAGAAGTAATTCCATGCGTGCACACCCTTATTGCAAAAGAAGTATTTTTATTTACTTCAGTGTTGGGTAAATTAAACTGAATTAAGTTGCTATTTTGGAATGGAGTATGGGCATAAGCTGTTATTCAGAAAACAGGTTGGTTTGGTTTTTTTTTTTTGATAACCCTATTATTTCAGTCCCAATTAACTTTAGGGTGTTGGCCTAAGACTGTAATGAGAACATTTATTAAATTGGAAAAAATATTTATGGATGAGGTGCTGGGGTGCCAAAAATAAACCCATGTGATCAATCCCATTAAAAAACATGTTATAATGAATGAAGAAAAATGTAACTGACAGCTGAGTCTGTCTGAGAACATGTAGTTTTCCTGGTTCATTTTCTTTCTTTTTGCAAACCAAACCTTTGGTTACTTGTAAGTCTTTAATTGTGACTGTACTAAGAAAGAATAGCACAAATCTAAAAATTAATGTAAAAAAAGAAATTGCTCTTGCAGTACTTCTGGTGGTAATGTTTTTTTTTTTTAAAGGAAAGTTAGACAATTACTGTGATACGATCAGGTTCTTGAAAGATCCATGCTTTCAAAGGGATTATGGTTTTACATACCAAGCTGAGATATCTAAAGCTAGCTCTTCCTCATGTGATGAATGTTTAAAAAGAATGGCCTTTTGAAGTCTGTTATGGATGCTGCCAAAACAATAAGGAACCTGCAGTTGTAGACTTTTAATTTGTTAGGTTCTTGTTGCAGTTGATTAATGGTGGGATCTAGAGGTCAAACAGATGCATCATGATAACTTTTCCTTTAGTGTGAGTTTCACTGGAGTGTAGTAATTTTTAATGGGTAAAAAGGAATCTTTTTTCTGCGTGTAAGACAAAAGCGTTACTGAACTGTCCTCCTATTAATAGTGTTACGACAGCAGGGACCTGTATGAAACTTTTGGCTTTTGTTAGTATTTCGTGCACTGAGCTAGTATAGCAGCATGCTTGCACCTTTTGTTCATCCCTTCATCTGAACTGACAATTCTGAAGCTGGCCTATACATATGTCTTCAATGGGCAGTGTTGATGATGATGACTGTGTCAGAAAGGAAAAAACAAACAAACAAACAGGGATTAAAGCACTTAAATAATTAGAAATCCCTGAAAACTGCTTGATTTATTTTACAGCAAAAAAACCTAGCATGTACGTGTCCATCTATGTCTGTGCTATCACTTTTCTGCATACCTTATAGAAATGCAAGAAGATTTTAAAATTGGGGGGGAGGGGGCAGGGAGGGCTGGAGGATGCTGTTGATATTAATTTTCTGCACAGATATGCTAATGACAAAGAGTATTGAACTGAATTCAACTGCCAATGAAAAAGATCTGAAGGTTTTTAAAGAAATATCCCACTGACTGGCAAGTTTGTTTAATATTTAACTGGTCTGTGTAGTACTAAATGATAAGTGAAATCCTGTTCTCTAAAGAAATGTTATTTTTAGAATATCTTAAAAAGACATCTTTCTTTCAAATTCTGTATATCCAACATTTCTGCCCTATAGCTTTATAGCAGCTTATTACTACCAAAGAGGATTTCTTGCCCCACAACAAAATAGAATTCTAGGATTTTATTGATGAGAGATACGGTGACTGCTAGGATTTTATTGACAAGAGAGATACGGTGACCGCTAGGATGTGGTTTTGCAGTGAGCACTAACTTTCTGTATCTCTCATCTATAAACTTTTAACCCATGTCATACAATTCCTTTGAAATTTTTGACTTTTAGATGATTTACAGTTGTTAGCTCCAGACCTTTCAGCATCTAAATAGTGTCCTTTAGATGATGCTAGTAAATAAGAAGGAAGTGGGTTTTGGATTTGGTTCCAATTATGCAATTGTGCCTTTTCTTCTGTTGTGGCTTAAAAAAAAAAATCTCTTGGAAGTTTTAATATCCTTCCTGTATTTAATTACGACCAGGCTCCAACAAATGCTGTAATAAGTTGGTTTCTCTTGGATAGAAAATCTGCAAGAAGTATTTTACATCTAACATTTCTGCAATTTTGGAGTGTATTTTTTTCCCAGATTCCACAAACAGGATAATGTGGTTAATACTGTTTGTATTATATGATTGTTCATCAGACACTTCTGCTTCTGATTACTATGTTTTAGTTTGTATTTGCCATAGCAAACTCTTAATCTTCACAAAATTTTGAAATGACCCTAGAAAAACCTAGCAAATTGGTGTAAATTATTTTCTATATTCCATCTTTGTGCTTTAGTTTGGCAGTTAGTTTACTGAGATAATGATAAGGTTTAGAAACTATGAGTTTTTGGTTTTGCATCACTTTTTCCCAAGATGACTTAAGGCTTATCTGTCTTAAGGTGCTTTTAGTGCTCTCTATTCAGCCCTTTCATGTCATGTCTTTTACAAATTACTGAGTATAGGTGGAACTGGTAACAATTACACGCTGCCTGTAGGATATATATGGCATCACAGGATCCCTGAGCAGTAAGTTTTGTGAGAAATATCAGTCTTGGAACTCAAATACTGTTCAGGTGTTTTGACTGTATCTTGTTGCTTCTCTGCTTGCTAACTCAGAGTTGCGAGTTGACTGAATGCAGAAAGAAAATCTGCTTTTTTAGAGGTCATTGCTGCTGGCGATTTTGGAGGCCTGCTAGGAGGACTGTTTCACAGTTGTCTTGTTTTTGGTATGGTTTGAATAAGCGGTTCTTTTTTGCAAGCTTATAAAGCATCATCTTTGCAAAACATTGTATTCTTAATCTCTGTCATGATCAAAAATTGTGAATGCTCTGTATGGAGACGTTGTCTTTTTCACTGCATAGCTCTGATATGGAAAGATAATAAAATTTGAATTAATGTGAACATTTCTTTAAATATGTACTGTACATTAAACACTTTTCTTGGCTACTATTCTTGATAATTTCCATTGAGGACATCAGTATAACTAAGAACAGAACTTAGCCCTCGGGGTTTTAAGTAGCCAGAATTTTATTGCATAGACCAGAAGACCATACTAACATGACAGTAACTCAGTTTAATATTGGCCTCTGTGGAATGTGTGTTGTGATTTCTAATGATTAGTTACATAAAAAGACGTTGGTAGATCATACTCCAACTGGATCTTGGATTTATTTAGTGGCTTTCTTCACT